TGAAGGCGGTGCAAAATGCCTAACGTCGCTTTTGGAAGCCCATAGGAGCACGGGCTGCACGTTCCAGGGCTCTCTCCCCAGGCTCCCGCCTGACGCAGGCAAGGCTGCGATGCAGGAGTACGCCAAAGGCGCTGGGAAGGGTTTGAAGCCGCGCGGGGGGTTTAAAGGCGGTGCAAAGTGCCTAACGTCGCTTTTGGAAGCCCATAAGAAGAGAAGAGGCAGGCCTGCGAGCTGCCGAGAAGAGGAAGAGGGCAAGGCTGCGGTGCAGGAGTAGGCCAAAACGTCGCTTTTGGAAGCCCATAAGAAGAGAAGAGGCAGGCCTGCGATTAGAAGAGAAGAGGCAGGCCTGCTGCCGAGGGGTTTGAAGACTTGGCCAACTGCTTCACCCTGCGGTGTCCCAGGCGCCTCCCCGCCTAGGCTTTGGCTATAGGCCGGGGTCGGCGGATTTCCGCCCGAAGGGGCCAGATTTCACCTCCACCTGGATGTAAGGGGAGGAATTCTGGCAGTAAATCCCACTGGTTTTTGTGGAACTCCTCCACTTGACCGCTGACCTGGTCATCCTGATAGGCGGCGACTTCAGCCCATCGAGCATCGCTGGCGGGGACGAGTTGGGGATTCGGCATCGTTTCGGCGCGTAAGTGGGGGCATTACGACATTATGACCAACCAAGCATCCTTGGACTGCAAATGAAGGACATTGATATGAAATTGATGGTTGATGTGGTTGTTTCCGGCCCTAAGTGGTTGATGTGGTTCAAAAAGCCTTCTTCGCCGCAAGGCGGCCGGTGTCCAGGATCGAATCCGGGGCGTTCGAAGGCGGTTCGAAGGCGGAACCGAAGGCGATGTTCGGGGTTCGGATGTTGTGGGATGGGAGGATGTTGATCTAGATGTTCTGCTTAGGTACCAAACCTGTTAATCCTTTCAGTTTGGCAGCTTGAAGTGGTCAGCGAACGCAGGCCCAACCCACCCAGCTAATGACCATGTTCCGAAGAACCACATCCTGGCAATTCTGGGGACCTCTGGGCAAAGGATCCACACCACACCACGCGTTGTCCACGGCCCGTCCGAGCTGCACTAGCAGCCAGTTCGAAGGCCCAAAATCGGTCCTAAAGTGCGGCATCTTTCAAACTTCATGGGTCACCCTCCTTGACATTTTGGGATCTAGTTGACGAGATGTAAAGAGCATTTTTTGCGATGACGCGGTGTGCCATCACCAGCAAGACTTCAAACATCTTCAAACATTAACATCAAACAATATTAACTATATATCTAAAACAAATCTAGTCTTATTATGCAACATACATATTTTTTAGATGCACAAATTGGGCTCCTCTGCAGACCGGGCAGCCCAGGGCAGCCTCTGCTCAGCTCTCCCAGGTGTTGGCCATTGCTGCGTCTGTGGCTTTGAAACCCATGAGGAAGCTGGTCGCCGTTGTGTTTGGCGGCGAATGGTGGTTGAGGGCTGGGAAAGTGAAATGATCTAGCTGCTAGCAAATATAGAAACAGATTGCACCAAGAATTACAAGCAGGATCTGAACCCTCCAGAGTACCTTATACCTGTTGTTCCGGGTCGGTGTCCTTCTCAGGTGCCGGCCTTTCGAGGGACAGAGTCAGTTCTGGTACCTGCTTGACGAGCCCGAAGGACCACGCATCAGTGGTGAAAACTAGACCTTCAGAAGCCCTGATGGCCGAGTTACTCAGTCCTAAATGGCGTCATTCTCCTCTCGTGTTTTGGATTGAACTCGTGGTGGGCTTTCTCCTGTCGATGCAGCGCCACAGGAGGAGCTGGAGAGCTTCGCCTGGGCGACATCGTTCCACTGCAGGACCGCCCGGACCGAAGATGGTTCTCCATGTCTACCTGGTTCGGTGGAGAAGGAGATCAGGGTCCTGAAGAGGAACCTTCAGGAACGTGGGATCAGTCCTTTGAAACATCAGAGATGGGGCAGAGATGTAGCAGTGAGGCCGAAAAACACATATCGCCCACAAATCAGGAGATCTCCACGAAAAGGACCCAGCACCACCCAAAGTGTGGTTATTGAGATGTTTTTGGAAAGAACATATAGGGTTGGGTGTTTCCAGTTCCCAGATTGTCGAGTCCATCAGATCAAGAAACCCACCCCGGTGGTGCTGGAACAGGTTACTACCCTGCAAGAACGAAGTGGACAAGCTCCTCTTGGTACAGGAAGATGGTCGAAGGGGCCATGCCTCCACCTAATAGCGTCCGATCGCTCCTGGTTAGTAGCGATGCCAGGAGCACCTAGTAGCGTCCGATCGCTCCGTTCGTAGCGATGGCCAACCGAATAAAACCATGGATGGTTTCAGGGGTAAAGGACTTTGCCTGGGAACACCACCCTCGTGCTGCGCATATGCGCTGCGCACCTATGCGCACAGCGGCGAGGCGCAGCGCCTTGGGACAATCTCTTTGGTGCCCCTGCAGAGCCGGTGAAGCTGCCGTACAGCACCAAGGAGGTTTTGGACTCGCTGAAAGCCAGTGAGAGCCTGAATTCTCACGGGGTGATGGGAGAACAATGACCACAGATCTTTGTTAATGGGGGAGAAAGGGATCGGAGATAGGAAGTAAACGTGAAACATATTCAAGACGGAGTTTGCTTGCTTGCTTGGTTGGTTGCTTGGTTGGTTGCTTGGGTTGCTTGCTTGGTTGCTTGGTTGGTTGGTTGGTCGGTGGGTTGGTTGGTTGGCTGGCTGGCTGGTTGGTTGGCTGGTTGGTTGGTTGGTTGGCTGTGTGTTTCTTTAATGGGCCTTTGACATCGCAGTAAATAGTTTATATTGATACCCCCTAGTAAAACGGCATATAAACATAAACAACAGCTGTTTTTGTTCACCCATTGCAGCAGTAAAGCACATCGGGACCCGGTTTTTGGACAAGGAAAGTGAAAGGAGTTGAACGGGTTGACATGTGTTGAAATGTTTTGAAGATGTTGTGCAAAAGGACATTTATTGTTGCAGAGCAGGTTATACAAGTCTATTCTTGCAGCCTACAAATCAGTTGGAGTTGGGCAGGGGGTTCCGAGTGGCTTGTCTCCCACAGTCTCTTCGCGGCTTGTCTCCCCACTCTCCCGACTTGTCGAGGCTGCAAGTTGTTTGTCGCCTCGCCTGGCTGTGAGACCGACCTTCGACCTTTCGATCAAAACGGCACGACCCTTCTTTGCGCTGTTGAGGCCTCACCTACTGTTCAGTTGGTCTGTCTGTGCAAAGTTTGGGACCAACCTCCGTATCCTGAAACCAGATGAAACCAGTTTTATTATGTTTTTTTTTTCAGGGATGACAATGTCCAGTGTTCAGGTGAGTTTGGCCCCTGTCGTTGATCCATATCCAGATCACCCCATGGGCCCCATGGGCGAAAGCGACACCCGTCGGGTCCAAGGCGTGGAGGTCATGGTGAAGTCGGGCGTTCCCCGTGCAGACGTGGAGCTCCCGGTGCGGAGCAGAGGGGGGTGGGTGGGGTTACCCGCAGGGTGCGGCGCTGTCCGCTAACAGGTTGGGTCACCTCGCAAGTCAAAACCAAAGGAAAGGAAGCTTTCGAAGATCAAGTGGATACGACGCGAGTTGAGTAATTTGTCATGGAGGTACTGTATAGTAATAGTAATTGTTCTTTTCAGGAAACAAACAATTGACGTGTTGCTACCGAAAAGATGTGTTTTTCTACCAAACATGTTTGGTGAAACACCTCAATGTGTTGCAACTACTGCAGGGGCTAAACCTAATTGGAATATGTTTGCAAAACATGTTTCTTTTTTCTGCTCCCTGCGAAGCATAATTTGTTCAACAACAGAGGGTGTACTCTCAGCGTGTTTAGTGTTTACGGGCTAGATCGCAATATATTGGATCAAATGGGATATCCGGGATATTCTAAGTTTCCCTTTTCCAGTTTGTTTCAGCCGGATGGTGTCGACCTGCCAGTTCCCAAATTAGCTGTCAGACTGATGAGTACAATGTATAGATGCAAACAAAGTTTGAGGCTGTTTGAGGCTGTACCCAAATGGATAATTACACTCTGTTCGAAGAACTAGGTGCGGAAATTGGAAGACCCCGCTGTGACACAGTTTGGGCATCGCCCCGTGCATTAACATCCATGTCCCAGTCTTGTATCGCCAAGGCTGGGCTGCGGCTGGGATTCGAGAACGTGACGGACGTCCGGGGTTTCAAGCGCTGTGGGCTGGGCATGGAGCATTGAGTCCAAGTATATCGATGACTATCCACGTCCAGGGGTGGGCCTTGACCAACGGAAGGAGACCTAGAGCCGGAGCGGCGGAACAGCCTCGGCCGATTTCAATTTCAGCAGAAATGCTTGCCGGTTTCAGAAGAAAACACCGCCAGCAAAAAGAAGCGCTGCTGGTCAAGGTCCTGATTGAACCAACACCGCCATGTGAGGAGAACTGCCGCCAACAAGAATCAGTGAAATGCACCCCAGTTTTCAATGATTGTTTTCCATGGTCGAGAAAAAAGAACGGTTCAACCCTGACAAGGAGCGTCATGTTGCAAATAACATGGAACATAATAACCTGTAGAGTTTGGAAAGTTCCGCCGACATCCCGCAAATTGTTGGCCGCCAATTGGGACCTGAAAGGCCAGAGACAGGCGCATCATTTTGTTCAAGGAGTTCTCAGGGGCTTGCTTGACAACTGTTTCAAGCTGCCAGGAACCGTGAAACGTACAGAATGTTGCTACCTTGCTACCTTGCCGGTTCAGCCCACAGACAGGATCAAGCAAGAAACGCGACCACCCTCCCTCCAAAGAAATGCCGCCACAGAAACAAGACATGCCATAAGCAAGAAGTGCCTTGTCCTACATAGGCAGAAAATCTTGCCAATAACTTTTTGCGTTATGGTAGTACTAATTAATCCAAAATGTTTGCTACCAATGTGTTTCTTTCAGGGGTTTGCCATGTTCGCCTGTTCGCTTGCCTCAGCCGTTCCATGTTCGCCTCCTCTTTCCACATGATTCAAATCTCAACACCAAGCTCCTTGCCCTTTCTTTCCATGTGACTCATCGGTCTGCGAGACGGCGAATGTTCGCTCCGTAACCGGTTCGCCGTGTTTGACCTGGCCTTCGTTCGACTCCAGGATGCACTCATTATGCCCAAGGAAGAGCCATCACCTGAACAGATTCTGCAGGCGGAGAAGCCGAGACCTGAAGAAGAATGATAGGGTGAAAAAGCAGTGGATGGGGCGGATGGGGTGGGTGACCCAAGTATGGATATGTCCCACTCACGCTGATGCTCAGCAGCTGATATTTCCCACTCTTTCGAGCCTGATAAAATACTTCAGGAACGTTGGTGTTCTCTTATCTTAGGCTGTAGGATGTGGACAACATATATATATATACATAATATATACACACTGACGGACACTGTCAGAAAACTTTCGTTATTTGCTTCATCAAGATAAATACCATGGCTATACTGGTTGTATAACCTCAACATATCTTTGTAAACGAGGGAGGTCACCTTAGGGAAAGCGAGCTGGGCCTGTGAATAGGGTAATGACTTGCGGTATCCTCATGTTCAATTTGTATGACTTGGCGAAAGATTGCATCATTTGTTGCCCAGATGTGTGTGTAGAAGGTTGCCCATGTAAAAGTTCATGAGGTGTCCGGGACGACCGGAATCCATCCGTCCCGACCAAACGGCACGTTGGGTGGACCGGTGAGCCGAGCGGAACGTGGCGCCTGTTACGTGGGCGGCGCCGGTTTCCTCGAGCGAGGCGGATCGAGAGCTTGCTCGAGTCTTCTTGGCCATGTTCAATAAGGTGGGGAGAGAGTCAGGCTGTGGGGTGGCATGGGGTTCAGAGTCGGAGAGTGGAGAAGGTCCATGGGTGTGAAGTAGTGGAGTTGGATGGATTGGGGGGCACAAACTAAGACAGAGCTTCACCTGGTAGATGCTGGTACCTGGTACCCGCCTGTTGAATTGCGGGGGAATGATTGTACTGGTTGCCACTGTTCTAGTGGAGGAGGTCTAAGGTTGACAGAGACCCAGGATGGCTGTAATCCTCGGTGCTTGATCATTTGGCTGAAAAGCCTTATAAATCACAAAGCACAAAGTCACCATACCAGTAGTGCCTACTGGAGGATAGGGGTGCCCGAGTGGGTGCCCATTATCCACTCACTTAGGGACTAAACATCACCCCTTTGTGACCTCTAAACATGGAACGGTGTCCTTGCAGATGTGCGTTTCTCTAAGTGGAACTTCACTCATTGACCTGCCTCTGACAATCGACAATCCTCTAGCATTCGATTCGCCGCTTCGTGATGAATCTGAATCGCTTGGCGAGGCGTTGAAGAATCGCTTGAGCATCATCTTTCGCACCAGTAAACAAGCGGCCTACGCGAAGCAGCTTTGGGGCAAGTCGGCTCTAGGCCCTCGGGCCCCGGGCCGAGGGCGGGCCCTCAGGCCGTCACCGTTCATGTAGACGGTGCGTGGTCGGTAGACGGCCGTGGTGTTTCTGGTGTGTTTTCTTGTGTTTCTTGGTGTACTTTTGAGGTTTCCTTGAGGGCCACTGGGGAGAGGTGGGGAGGTGGGATGGGGTCAATGACACACATTGTCACATTGCAATTGCTAGGTATGGAACTGACTTGCTATGTGAGAACATGGGGTGGGGGGTGGGGTGCCAATGACAAACGTTGCACATGCCGCGCCTCTCGCTATTCTCCGAGTCTGGCGCTTGTGTCCCATTTACCCCAGGGCACTGGAGGGCCTCCAACATCATGCGCTACATCTTTGGAGTAGCCGCGCCCGACAGAGACATGCATGCGTGGATGTATTTTCATGCAAAGATCCCCCAACCAATGGGTAGACTGGTCTGTGTGTATTGATGTTCCTTCTTCCAAGTCTTCGTGGCCTGGGGAGATGTCAAACCGACACCGCTGGGCCGATCAGGGCATGCTCGCATCGTCTCGATGGGCAAAGGCTGGTCAGCGGTCTGGCGGTGGAGTTCTGAGTTTGGGATTGGTTCTGAGCTCTACAAAGCTCGTTTTTTCTTGAAACATGAAGTTTCTGAGTGTAGGTTTTGAGTGTGTCTAAGTTTTCAAGGATTGGCCAACCAGTGGCTTTCATCCATGAAAGTAAGAAGTGAAAGCAATGAACATCAAACCAACAGGACATCGGCCGTTTGCAGAGGATTTGTGCACCAACCGTATAGAACCAGCGTGTGCTGAATTTTAAAGGTATCTACATCGAGTAGAAGCCATGCTTCTTGCAGCAAACGTGTGGTTGAAAGCTGAACAGGCAGCTGTGCCACTGTCTCCTCATGTGTTTGTGGCTAATTAGTCTCCAGGCTCTGCTCTGCAGCTTGTTTCGATGAACACACTTAGTCTGTATCCTTTGCCACCGAAAAGGCGGTGTTCCGCGGACCGAACGATGGGCCTCCCCAATGGAACGACCCCTGTTCTCGCCATGTCATGCTCCCGTCCCGTGCGAAGTCGCTCCGACTCGGGCACAAAGGCGGAGCCAAGAAAGGTGCTTTCACCTCCTCTGATGGACTGTGGCAGTCGTCGGTTTGACACGGTTGGCACGGGAGACCATCGAAATGGGATGACATGGTGACATGGGGGGGTGGTGTTCTTGTGAGGCTGAAGACATTCAGCAGTGTCTTCAGCCCACTGGTACTTGATAGAGTGTGGTGTTGCAGCAGAGAAAAGACATCGTGTCCCATTCAGGGGTGTTTGCTTCACCCTTAGTAAATTTGTCGGGCGCTTGCTGGTTAGTAAGTTTGTAGATGGTTTACCATGACATCGGAGTGAATGCGTTGAGCTTTACATTGAGCTTCAAATATCTTCAAAGACGATTGAAAGCATTTGTTGATCTCAACACAGAAATCCTCCTCTTCAAAAACGCATCTTTCGGCCTCCATAATCGATGAACCATATAAACTTGTGTTTGTCGTGATTGCATCGGGTCAGGGTTTGGGAACCCAAACTGACATGGTAGTGGATGCATGTGGATCTTGCCCTCATTTCTATTGGATGAAAGGCAAATCCCCCAGCACGGCAGGATTCGTTGTGCCGCTGCCCTGCCTCGCACCCTTGTGCCCGATCACTCCGAATGGAGCCGATCCCTTGGGCCTCCCGGAAAACGCGGCCAGGAGATATGGCAGCTTCCTTCATTCGTTCCTTGAAGGAGTGGGACATTTTGTTGCCTCAATCATAACAGTTCTATCGAGACACAAGTAGATAAGTCAAAAAACTGCTTTTCTTTTACCTCATGACCAAATTTGTTGTGATCATGACCGAGTTCCCAGAGCATTTGCCTTCCGGCCATCACTTCTTGGGATTGCTCCAATTTCGCGTGAGCAAATTCACGAATCCTGCAGATTTGTGTTGCAGTTTTGAATTAATAGATTTGGACGATCTTGATACATTTTGACCCTCCATATTCACCAATCACCCCCCAATGACAGATATGATATGATATTGTTTTGTGTAATTGTGCGCATGTTTTATTTGAATTCATGATACATGCACTAATTATCCACTCTTTGGGAGAGAAAACACATATATAATACGTTCCCTGGTCACTCTCTGGAAGTAACATGGCTATGTGGCCCCGAGTTCGGAAGACCCATGAAATCCGAAGACCCAACACCTAAGGGCAGGTACTCCTGGCGACCCAACAACGCCTTTTGGTTCAATACGCGGGCTTATAGTCAATCAGAACCCTCCTATCTTGGAGGGGGTTTTCATTCCACTTCCGGGTTCCAGAGTCAATCGGAAGTGCCGCCTTTGGTCAATGCAATGCCACGGTGGCGGTCGCAGGTTATTGGCAATGCCTTTGTGGTTCTGGTAGCGCCACGGAAGCCGCAGCTGGAAGCCATCGCCCGCGCGGCTGAGGAGGCGATCTGGGTGGAGCTGGGTGAATCGCGTGGAGTGCGGTGTGAGGCTTGGTGTGGAAAATGAAAAATATATTGGATCATAAAGTGTGAACAAGTATGATTGTATTTTATAATCACGGAGAAGAAAACTCCAGTTTCGGAAACGCTTTTGCTTTTCTTTATTCTTCTGACTCGCAATTGTTTTGCTTTTGCTTTTTGTAGTTGTTTTTTTTTTTCACATTTTTTTTTGCTTATCATTTGTATTTGTTTACTTTTTGGATTTGTTTTTTTTGCGTTTGCTTTTTCATTTGCTTTTTTTTTGCTCTTTGGATTTGCCTGCTTTTTCTTTTGCTTTGTTTTGCTTATATATTGGATTTGCTGTTTTTTTGCTTTTACTTTTTGTAGTTGCTTATTTTTTGCTTTATTTTTGCATTTTTACTATTTTCAAGATTCACAGAGTTAGCCTGGGTCCGGCGAACATAACAGTTTCCATGTTAGTTTCCACGTGAGTTTTTGTCGTTCGTTTTCATCGTCGGCTTGCGCTTCCATGTCGCTGGGTATCACTGCTAGCCGCTAGCCGGTTGTGGGTCAAACATCGACCGAAACCACCTTGGATCGGTGAAGACCTTGGCCCGAACCGATTGGTTGTCCTTTCGATCAACACCTGGGTCTTCGTGTGGTCGTTACAAGCATTTGGTGAGCTCGACCTCAGGTGGACAGCAAGACCTGTTTCATCCTGCTGAACGCTCGCCTGCGTGGCCTAAAGAAGCCAGATCCACTCCGGGAGGAGATCGTGCACGTCATGGTGGGAGAGACAGATGTTCTTGGTTGCTGCATGGTGTCAAAAGCTTGGGACATTGGACATATTTGCCTGCATTGTTGTTGGAGAATTGGGGCAATGTATATATATATATATATACTGTAGTGTTCTTTACTCTACTCCAGGAGTCGGCTTGTTGCTCGTGCTTCTTGCTCATCCCGGTCTCCAGGAGCTCAGTGCGGGCTTCAGCCCGGCCTTCCATGTGCGGCTCGTGAAGAATGGTGAAGGGATGGTCTTCCGGCAATTGCAGGCGTGCGGTGAACGTGTCGGGTGGAACGACAGATGCGACAGAACACGTGTGGACCCGGGGTGGGACCGGTCACCGTGATGCCACGATGAGCCACTGCAGCAGTTGTGTTGGGTTCCTGAATGCTCCAACACGGAGGAGGAATTGGCCGCCGGAAGTGGCCAGAAGCTTTGTATTGATGTGCAGAGTTTCTGAATGAGTCATTCTTTGCCTCAGGATGGCACTTCACCATGGATTCTGGCTGGGAGGCTTGGAAGAGGAGGGTCATGACCCTAACCATACTATGACATCTGAACCACTAAGGGCTTATGTATGCTGCATGCTCGCTGCTTTGAATTGGAAGAGATCCCAGCAGTTTCTCCAGGGTTCCCACCAAGTGGTACCAAACCAAGTGGTGCTCGATCCAGACGTCCTCGTCCTCGATCACCCACGGTCCTTGATGTTCTGAGGGCGCTAGATCTAGGCTGGTTTGGCGGTAGTGAGCTTGACTGGGGACCCGGTCGCTCAAGTCGATCGCCCAAACGATCCAAACGGGTCGGCTTCGAAGGTGACGTTCCAAACAACTGGAAAACTAGACAAACCAAATGTAAAGCTTCCTTTGTTTGACGGTGGCTGATCTCTAATGGCACTCCCCCTTTCGCGACCCCTGATTCAAGGCTCAAACCAGTCCAGCGGACCATTCGAGCTACGTCATTGGAATCGAGCTATCTTCCAAACCTTTGAGCTATCTAAGGTCTAAGAAGTTGATGCCAAGAGTCACAAAGGAGTGGGTTTTTTGAGTGGATGCGACAGGGACACCTAACCTCCTTCCGTTCGGCACCGGCACCCCGAGGCACGCCGCAGCTTGCCCAGCACGGTGGCCACGGAGGTGCCGTTCACCCCGTTCGGGGCGGCGTCCGAGCGTTTGAGGTCTACATGTCCCACCTTTTCCTTCAAATACCCTAAGCAAATCCTCAAAGAAAACATGCTAAAAGGAGGATTCCATGGTATTGTAGTAGTTTGGTATATTTTGACACTTCAGATTTCCATGGTCTTTCCAGTCGTGCCATCCACTTCCATGATTGGTTCCTAGAGAGGGTTGTCTTGATCTTAAAAGTAATTAAAAGTAGCTGAAGATGCTTTGAAGCAGCTTTTGGGACATTTGGGGACCAGGTTCCTACAGTTTTGAACCTGTTCTTGAGCTAATGTCAACACAAGGAGCAGTGATCGCATGTGTACCCTTTCTGCTTTTGGTGGACCCTGCCGTGATGCCGTCACGTGACCCTCCCCACGTTGTGCCTGTGTCAGTCCTGGTAGGTCCTGGTAGGTGATGTAGTAACCCCTGACAGTTGGAAAAGATAAACGCATCTTGAAATAAGAGTAATTGGCTATGGGGGGTGCTGCTTTGCTCATCTTTTCTCCATTCATATGATTATATGTAATATACTTAATGTAGAGCAGTTTTTGGACCCCTTGCAGGGCTACTTTTTTTGACTGTTCTGTGAGTCTCTACTTGTACGTGTGTCAAAGGCCCCACTGGAAGCCATGGGGGCCAGTGCAAGGGACACTGTTTTAGAAAGCCCTTCGTGTTTAACATGCTTAACGCCATGGAGGCACCACGTCGCAGCACAAAGAAACATGACGAGGTCCCGAGTCTTTGAGTGCTTGCTTTTTGGGGTCTCGGGCTTGACACTTCCGAACATCTGGTTTTTGCAGATCGGGTGTGGCTTCTTTTCCTAATATTTATTTATAGCTGAATCCCCCAAGCCTGGGGAAGAGGCTCTATTTATTGTTTCCGGCTCCTAGAGCTTAATAAAGCACATCCATGAGTCGTCCTCCCCCCCCCGCTGCTGCTTGTTGTTGGGTCACCGCCGGCCGCGTTTTTGCCAGGTGGCTCGGAGCTTAGAAGAGCCGACGCTGGAACGCATCGAAGAGGTCTTTGCGAAATCTGCAGAGACCTAACAGATGTGGGTGTGCAAGCGTTGTTTGCTAGAAGACAGATAGAACATGATACGGTTCAAAAACTATTCTAATATCTTCTAATAAAGGGGATTCAATTGTCGATCTCTTTTGGGGGTACCGATCCAATCAACTGTCAACTTTAGGTGATTGAAGTGTACCGTGTTCATGAGGACCCCGGAGTCCTGAGAACTTGTTGAGAAAACCTTCGATGACAAGCGAGTGGTGGTGGGTGTCTCCAGTTTGGTTGATCTTAGAGGGTCATTCCCACAACCAGCCCTTAATAAGGAGAGACCCAAAAGTGTTTTTGGGTCGGAAATGCACCAAGAAGCACTCACCAGTGAACTCAGCCGAACAGCCGACTTCCAATGGATGGCTTGAATTGAAGAATGCTGATGCTCCCAGATCTGCTGCACTCACGCAGATCTGCTGTGCTTCGATTAGCTTTCGATATCCAAAAAGGTGCACTGACGTGAGTGCTGGGCGGATGGACGAATGGAACGCAAGTGCTGGGTCCACTCTGCTGGTTGACCTGTTTTGGGAATCAGACCAACAACCGTCCAGTGTTCCGAACGAAAAAGGTTTCTGGCTTAGTTGCAAAACAGGTGGCCCCAAGAAAGGTAGACCAAACTAACTGGAGAGGGTTATCGCACAAAGTCTTCAAACATACTAGTGTTTTTGAAAGGCGGTTAGCCTGAACGAGGCGGAGCAAACAGATGTGGCGGTTTCTTAATACCTATTATGTCACAATGTCTTTACATGATCAGGCCAACCCTGCCTCTTTGGATGGTCGCTACCCTTTGTGACTAATGTGCCACGTATCCATGGCACTGAAATCACAACTTGGATCGAGGCGATGGCAAGGCTGGCTTAGGTCTAGGTTAGGCTGGATGAGTTTCCGTAGATTTCTTCAGAAGGTCGTCCATAGTTTCCTACCTGAAAATGTCCATAGCCTCAAGGGAAAACCCCCTCGGTCATACTGATTATCTCACCTCTGTCACCCCGCTGGGCCGTCTGGTTCGCCAGGATGGCAAGGGCCAAGCGACTCTGATCCCTGAGGAGAACCCTGGGACCTGGTTCGGTCCCACCAAGCTAGGCCTGGAAGGAAAAGGTTACAAATAGTACCTGGGACCCGAAAAAAGTGAAGGTGAAGGTCACTTTGAAGAAGCTGGGATGGTTGGCTGGGAGCTTATAATTGGATTTGTTCCTTGACTTACATGAGGGATGGATGTGTGTTGACCACATTATTCTTGCTGCAAACAGTACAGTCTAGATCATCCTGATCTGTGTATACAGAGAAGCAGGCTGTGAGTCCTGGTCACCAGTAACACAATTCATAGGTCTGCCACAGAACGTGCAGAGTACACCAGAGTACTGGAAAGGGCCGCCTGGCGGATCGGCCATAGCGATGCTTTCTTTGCAAGGAGTCTGAAGATCTTTGGCATCTCTACAACCTCAGCATGTCCGGGGCTTGGTCGAAGGCTGCAACTGTTCGACTTCACAGCGTTGAATCACTTGTATCCATCGACGTCGGACGTCGCCCGTTCCCGGTTCCCGGTCAGTTCCCGTTTCGCCGCCATGTGGGCCACGCAAAGACGAGCGTACCGACCCCAGCACCTCTCCCCGGCTGGTCGGAGACCATCGTATCGGATCTACGGTTTTCGTGTCGGCCAGGAAAGGTGACACCATCAAGGCAATGACATATCGAAAGGCGTCGGCCCGAGTTACAAGCTCCAAAAACAGGGTCAAAGGAGTCAGAAGGGATTGCATTTTGCTGTGCACATGGTCCATACATTGGCAGACTGCAGACAGGGTTTTTGCACGTGCCATGTCGCGCCCCCACGGCCAGACATTGGGGGATTTGTAGCTTGTAGCTTTTGGGGAGATGGAACATTGAGCACTCTCCTCTGGATCTAGAGTTGCCTGGCCCAGATACAGAAGGAGGGCAGCACTGGGACAGTTCAGACGGAGGTCAAAAAGTGGCTTGGCTGCAGCCTACAGCTCTTGGCAAAGAGCACATGTAAAATTCTTTCACCTGAAAGCAAATCAGGTTCCTCTGCTGTAGCTACCTGTAGCTACTACTCTAGCCACTCTAGGCAATTTGTTGCTCTCCTTAAGGTGAATCAGGCTGTGACAGCAGGTGCAGGGGTATTGTTCAGGCGTCTTTAAGCCATCGGCGACACTGATCGTTATTGGTACTCAACAGAGATGTGCAACATTGTGCAACATACTCTAAGTGGGGAAAGGCCTAGTGATTATGAATCTATTCATTTAGCTTGGTGGCGTGCCTTGGGGGAAGAGAAAAGATGTGGAACCAATGGTCTATTCTGTTAGTTTCCTGAGGCTGTCCCCTATAGCAATTACATTGTGAATAGCTCATTGTGCTTGTAGACCGACCGGGTAGCTGGACGATGCATATTGGGGGCCAGGTTCATATAATTCATATCCGGTTTCATCGATGACTGACCACTGGGTACCTGCCGACCGGATCACCCGAGGATCCAGATGACCGTGGAGGATGGGATCTCAGCTTTCGACCATTTTGCTTCAGCTAACCAGGTTGCTGGTCGCCGGTTTTGCTTCAGAGCTTGGCTTCCGACGATCGAATCGATATTACATGAATTTACATGACGCTTTTGATCGTTCGCATGGTCTTCGGCGAAACCTTCCGCTTCCCTGGTTTCTCGCCGCTGCGAACTGGTGAATCCCCTTTCCTCACCCCTCATGCGTGGTGTTTCCACTGAACCAACGCTTCGGTCCGACACCGAGAGGACGCGAGGACGACCGCGATAGACCGACCGGGCGGTATGGGGCGGTTGAACCTTATTTGGAGAGATGCGAGTGGGCGAGGCCAGGAAATGAGATTTGGCATGCTCAGTTTCAGGTTTTGCATGGTTGTGCCATGACCCGCCAGTTTTGTGTGGACATTGACCTGGATTCGATCGTGACATGGCCTAAAGCTTCAGGTCAAGTCAATCGAGTACGATGCGGCCGGGAACTGCATTCGATACTCGGGGAAGAATTGTGAGGAGCAACTGGGAATGAACGGCTGCTGCATCGTTGTTGGCGCTCACTATCGTCAGAGAGGACCAAACTACGTATCATTCTGTTTGCATCTCAACCACCTTGTGTGATCGTGCAGGTGGATAACCAAAAGTGCTTGCTTGCAGAGTTTGGCTCCTATTCTGTGCTTCTTTACTTGCAAACAGTCATCGCAAGCTTCAGTCGCAGGATCACGCAAGTGACACCACAGTCTAGCTAGACTGCACGATAGGTGAATCTCTAACAGTCTGGTCCCCAACTTCACGTCTCCACAGTCTCCACGTCTCCCTTAACTCGATCCTTTTGTTCTCGGTCTCATCGGCACGGTGGCCTTCGCACCGTGCCGGTCGAGACCTGCGCCTCGACCCGCCATGACGGCTTCATGGCGGCGCAGGCGGCACAGCGGCTGCACAGCGGCTCCGGGGCGGCCGAGGTGGCGGAGGCTTTGGAGGAGGAGATCAAGTCCTGGTGACGTGGCAGTTGGGTTGGAACAGAAACATCGATGAAATGGGGCCTGAGTTGGGGCAGTGGGAGGTCAGCAACAGGAAACACATGGAAAAAGATGGAAAAGACTCTCAGCTGATACTGCCAAGTAGGTTGGACATTCTTTGTAATTTGCCGCTCAGCAGGTGGTGAGATCCTCTTCCCTCGTCGTTTCAACGGTGTTCGCCGGTCGAGGCGAAGACATCCGGGCTTCGCGACCGCCGTGCTGAAGCGGCTGGGATCCGGGGCGAACGTGGAGGTGCTGGGCCATGTCTTAAGCTTGATGCAGCAGAAACGCGTGGAGTCTCCGGCTGAAGAATCAGAAACAAGAGAACATGAGGAAGATCTGTTTGGATCAAGAAGGTTGAACTGCATGACAGATCGTATAAAATACATCAAAACAATTCACGTTTTCATTTCTACTGGTACGATCAAGATATCCAAATTCGAAGCCAGCAACATATTAACAGTTGTCTGCACACCTGCCACGAATCTTCCCCGCAGAATCCCATCCCCTAAGTTTCCCAATTTCCACAGATTGACGTTCGACCTGCACATCTCTCACCAAGGAGCTGAACGTGATCCACTGCAACACGGCCATCAAGGCGTGTTGCTCCGGAGCCTGGCTACAAGCGCTGAACTTCCTGGAGCAGATGCTCCAGATGCGACTGTGGGGTTCTAAGATTCGGTATGGTGGGGTGGGAGAAGTCAAACCGACCATGACTTTCTCGTTCTCAGAAATTGTGGGAGAGTGCCTTATATCGCCTTATGGGGGCCTTTTGAAACCTTTTGAACGATGTTCCTTGAGGATCAACAGCGAAGTTCCCACTTAGACTTGTTTGTTTATTGGAAGAAGGGTACCTATCCGCCATACCAAAGATTATGTAAGTCATTGAGTCATTCCTGTGATTTCTCCATTGCGGATGGTTTTGCAACCCATAAGGGGACAATGGCAGACTGTAAATCTTGGGCATTTAATCATGCGTCATGGAGGTGTCTCTCTTGGGATGTGATGCCGGTTCCACAAGTTGGAGGTCACTCGTTCCACTCTTTTTTTACGTAGTCCAAGATGTGAAGTGATACATTTCACCCATCAAGTGTCTTGTTTGTCAACCTCCTGCAATTGTTTATAGACATGATTTCTTAAACATAACTATATAAAGATCAAAACATATAGACTATAGAACTACAGTTGGACAGATGACCAAGGAATGTGCGTTAAAGCCAGGCGTTTCATCCAAACCAGTCCAAACATGGTCCACGTTCTCGCTCAGGAAGCCGGATGTCTTCACCTACAGCTCTGTGATGACTGCGTGCTTAAAGGAGCAGAAGAGGGAGCAAAAGATGGGTCCAAGCGACGTTGGGCGTCGCTTCGGCTCCGTTGACCGTCAACGGCTCTCGTTTTGGAGCTGTTGATGGAGCATCCTGCAGATGGAATCTCGTTTTTGTGGAGGGACGACACAAGTTGGTCCTCGCATGTCCAAGCGGAATTGTTGGAACACAAAGCAGGTGTCAAACAGGTTGGAAAGGTAAAGTGGCAACGTCAGTATACTTGCTTGCACTTTTCTTCACTTTTGGGACTGTCCAAAGATTTCCAGCTGTAGGAGATGAATTGGCACGCAGCGCTGCAGATCTTCCATAATTGTAAGTTGTTCTTGAGGCCGGATGTCGTCGGGCCGGGCGTTGGCCAGATTGGGCTGCTCCGCCTTGAACTCATGTGAATTAACAGAGAGGAAGATAAGCTAGCTGCCGCCTCCGGACATGGCAACGACTTCTGAACTTATGTTCATGCCCTGCTGGGTTCAGCTGCGCCAATGATGCGAACACCCAAAAGCGGCGCATCGTGAGCCCTAATTTTGCCATATGTCTCCCCAAAACTGCATACCCACCTTGGTCGTTGACACCTTGGGGTCCTTGACACCCAAGGTCACTTCGATGATTCTTCACAGTGCCATACAGTGCCCAAATCCATATAAATCCATTATGTTTTGGATAGAGTATGATAAAGTCGATCAATTCCAATATCGCGGGACCAAATTCATGTGACTTACGCTTTGGATCTTCCAAGCAAGCCAGCGCGCGATTCGCGAAATAGCGTGAGTTGACGAGGCCTGATTTGGCTTTGAGCAACTGTGGGCTCCATGCTTTGAACCTGGCGGGTCAATGGGAGGCGGCTAAGCACTTGCTTTGGCAACTGCCACAGTTGGAGTTGAGGAGAGCGGGGGCGAATTTGGGGGGAGGGGTGTTGGGATGTGTTGGGATGAGGGATGCGAGAGAGGGAATGTGAACAAGTTGTAAGGGGTACTATACCACTGAGGGGTACAGTATAAGATTCTAAGATGTTATTCATACAGTCAGTGATTGTGCATTTTTAGGGGAGATTCCGTTCTTTACTCGAAACTGAGGCAGGCCGAGGCCAAAAGTATGCCAACAACCTGTCAGGTCAAGCTAACATGTTTGATGTTTGATGAGCCTTGTGATGTGACTTCCACAAACCATGGTAAGAGCCTGGGAGTGCGACCGGGGTCACCGGGGTCCACCAATAAAGAACTGCATCAAGTGCGACTCAATCGAGAGGGCCGGGGGTAAATCAGTGCTCCACCAGCACTGCTTGTGATCAATGCGGTGACGGTCACAGCCACCCTCCAATTAGCGAATCCACAGGCCCATTAGCAAATCACAACAAACACCCCATGGTCTCGAGGCTTTTACTCCCCAGAGGCCTCACAACCCTCATAATCTGGGTCTCTTCGTGCGAGCGCGGGGATGCGCGGTGGCGATGCAACGTTTGGGGACTCGCAGGGCAGATGTAATCAGCTTCGGGCCTGCGATTGCAGACGTGGGCTGGAAGCAGTCGGCGCTAATGCTGGAGACGATGGAGGTGAGGGGCACCAAATAGTTTGAGGATGTACAATCGAGTTTGACAATCTGGAAAGGTTCAAACATTTCAGAGTCAACATGTGATGGGAAGAGGTCCCATTCAATGATGGGAGGCGGGGCTTGGAGTGTGTGAAATTCAAATCCATCGAACGGCCCGTTTCGCCGGACCCGCGATCCCGGTGCTTCGGCTGGTCCAAGGCCTCCGCGATAGAACCGGACCGGAAGATCTTCAGCAGCTTCGCGGTGACCGGCGAGTCCGAGGACATCTGGCAGCGGTCCATGGGGTTGCTGGACTTGATGCGGCAACGAGATTTGGAGGCCAGAGAGGTGAGACGTTTGATTAGTAGAACATAGTAGAACCATGAAGAGGTTTATTTTGACTCACAGCCTCAGATCTAGACAGACCCAAACCTTGAGTACATGAATGGTGGTAAAGACGTTGGACCAACCGTCAAACAAACCTGTGGCACAGATAGGCATGCCTACCACAAAATGGAAGGGTTGGCGTGTATTACCGCAAAACTGAGTTTGAGTTTGAGGTCCTACCCTTTTGGATCCATTTGGTCATCACCTTAGACATGCAAGAAGACCTCTTTGTAGAGGAGAATGTGCAGGTCCAATGTCCATGTGAGAGATTCTTGGGGATGGTCAGGGTTGGAATCCTTCCTTTTTCCCTTCTGAACCAACGGCAACCAGCCCTCATGTGAATGACCATCCAAGCTCATCCACGAGGCAGATGTCATCAACCACAGCTCTGCCTTGGCTCCTCTGGCGGAGCAGCTCCATTGGCAAATGGCACTCGCCTTCGCTGCTCAAAGCGATGGACACCATGGCGCCCTGAGCCTGTGCAATGCAGTGCTGCGGGCGGTGCGGGGTGAGTGGAGAATGGCTGTGGCAGAGGTGGGCGAACTGGTTCGCCAGTGGGGATATATCAGCATTCTGATATTATTAATTATACATGATGCAGTTAAATGCATTTAAGACGCATCCATCACCATTTATATATCAATCCTTCATCTGGGAATGGCTGCCAGAGCTGCAGGTAGGATTTCTTTATGCTTATGGTGATTGAACAGATGTCAGAGTGTGAAGGATTCTGGATATCTTCCTTATAACGGAATCCATCTCCCAAATCCCAAACCGTGGTCCTGGTTCCACCAGTGACTTACAGATCTTACAGTTCCTTTCAGCACCCAAGAATACCGGAGGGCTAATTGAAGCCGATGACCATCACCAGAGACAGGGACCAGTCTGGAACCCCCGCAGGGATTTGTTGAGCTTCATGCCCGGCCAGATCAACGGGCTCGTCATGAAGGGCTTGGAACCGGATGAGGTGAGCCGAAACACGCTGCTGGCAGCAGTGGGATCCGCAGAGAGATGGCAGACGGCAATGCAACTGAGACACTTGGATTGCAGGTTGCAATTTGTAAGTGAAGATTGTTGGTGGAGGATACACCTGTTTTGGAGTGCAGCTATTCAAACCATTGACCAAGACAGGCTCAGATGGGTTCTGGGCAGAAAATCGTGCACAATTGGACAGGTTGAGAATATCTTTGTCTAGGTCCTCTTGGGTTTTTGCCTGAACCAAGCTTGTAGTAACTTGGTGCGGGAAACTAATCTCAGATCTTATGAACATATTATAGGCATCGTTTCTCTTGACTCTTGACCATCCATGTTCATCTTGGATGAATGGATTGAGGTCTCCTGAATGCTCGGACACCTTGGAGGTCAGTGGTGAGTCTGTGGGAGCATCACCGGTGGCAAGGCTTGGAAGTCCAGGCGATCCAGACTTGAGAGTCCAGCGATGTTTTTTCACAGATCGGTTGAGAGCATTCCTGAAAGTACCTGGACCATCTTGTTTTGCGTGTCCTGGCTGGACGGGCCCCAGCCGGATCCTTTGGGATCTCCAGGGACGGAAGGGGAGGGTCCAGTTTTGGTTCGCCTTTCCGGATGGCGAAGGCTGTGAATGAAAGAATCCAGTTGCACCATGTTACAAGTGTTTTCCGTGTTTAGTGACTATAGTGCAATCAAGTGGGGAATTTTGGCCTGCTAAGTGTGTACTTCTTGATGGGACGTTGGATGATCATGGAATGTCCCTAGACCATCATGAATGATAGACCTATTTCAGGAGCCTTGGAGTTGATTGCTGAAGTGGGGGACCAAGCTTGTCCTTTCGTCCTTTAATCACCAACTGGCAGCCAGATGCCTCAGGTTTCGACGGGGAAATCTCCTAGGCTTGAAACCTCACAATGCGTGTGACCGAATTGGAAGTTGGAATGTTGAAGAGACAGGATGAACAGTTACTACTAGTATCGACTAGTAGCTTCTTGCCACTAGTAGCGATGCACTTGTTACTGGTGATGAACAGCACCGGTGTTGACAGATTTCCAGATGCATTTCGTCGTGGGTCTTGTGAAGAAACGGGTCGTGACCCACCTGGAGCCTGACAGGTATATATATATATATAAGTTTACCCACCATCCGATCAGGCCCGATCATCGGTGGTGTTTTTCCGTTTTCGTTCGTCGATAGAGGCCTCATCTTGTGATCTTTTGTTTTGGTCGTTACGTCCACCGTTTGGTGATGTCCCGGATCCGAAGAATCTTTTGAAGCACTGAATTTGTGAGACTTTCTGTTGCGTTTGCTGATGGAAAAAATCAGGCTTTTCTCTTGGGTTCAGATTCACTGACTGCGTTCTTTCCTTCTCCACTCTTCCTTGATTTCTCCCTATGTCTCCAGGCTGCAGCGAGCCTCGCAATGCGTGGTTCGCCCTGGGAACAACAGCTGTCATCCCTGGAAGTCCTATCGAGGCGTCGCGACGGGGGCGTCTTCGGAGACGTCGAGTGAGTCAGGTCTTCGACCGGTCGTGCGATCACCGGAGGGTCGACGGTTCGGAAGACCGATGTGTTTTTCGTCCAGACTCCGAGGCAACAAGCCTTTCATCACCCGAGACAAGCCTGAGGCAACATTCCATCTAGGGTTCTATTGGCAACAAGCCATGCGCCATGCGGGAACCGGATCTCGACCGCGACGGGATCGACCGATCGAGACGTGCAGGTCCTCGAGCGACGACCAAGCCATGCTCAGTTCGTGCTTGAACTCCTGCGAAGCAGCCAGCGACTGGCAAGTGGCTTTAGCACTCCTAGGCCCCATCCACAGATTGGTGGTGTTCTGAGGAAGTTTTGGTAACTTCAATCTTGGTAGAGCACAGTTCTTTGATCAAAACTGTCACACTCCGCCTCTTCTTACCGTCTTACCTTGTCCATGCAGGCTCCATGAGCGTAGAGGATTTCGATGAAGTGAGCTACTTGACTGATAGAGATGTGCGAAGCAGCCATTCCTGGGTCCTGTCGGGGTGCAAGGTCTGAAATTCACCCTGTTTCGGTGGGGCTCTTCGGTGGATTTTGGATGGATTGAACATTCGCTGACGTTCAGAACTTGACTCGATTCGTCGCTCATGCAGAGCTTTCAGCTGATGCTTTTAGATAGGGTGAGTTTGCTCTCATGGTGCCCTAGTTCCCCTAGTTGTTCTTAGGGCATACAACCCCCAATTCTGTGGAGTTGCGCTTGGGACAGGAGAGGCTATACTCTCTTGCGCTCCATTCACCTGTTGTAGTTCAGAATTCATGACACCTCCGCGCAGGTGGGTTCGGCACACCGCATCAGGCTTTGGTGCGGCCATCAGCGCCTGTGCCAAGGGCGCTCAGTGGCTGGCAGCCTTGGAGCTGCTGCAGGACTGATCAGTGATTCCACCAGTGGTGGGAATGTGAGGCAAAAAGAGGCCAAGAGGGAATGGCTCCTAAAAGCCACTGTTGCTTGAACATGATGACTTGACATAGCGCTGACTGCAAGTGATTGGTTCTGGAAAGAAAGGCATCAGCCATGCAGTTATCAACGATGATGTTACATGTTGTATGAACTTGTGTGCCTCTCAGGGCCATGAGCTTGGAGACCAGTGGCTGAAATGCACTACAGAAGGTGTGAAAGGTGCTCGCCGCGAGCTGTGGCTTCAGACAACCAAACTGAGTTCCCGGAGCCCCTTCTCTCCTGGGGAGCTCGTCCAAGATCCATGTGTGGGATTTAGACCCAAACAATAATCAAATAACATCAAATGACCCAAAAGCCTATGTTGACCCAAACTGGACCCTGCTAAACACCCAGCCAAGTAGGGAAAATACAAGTGAAGCACTGTAAAACCACCATCTTTTCGCACTTTGGTCGTCGACTGCAGGAGGCCTCCCAGTCTCGTTTCGCCAGTGACATCGCCCGCAACGCCGCCAGCAGCGCCTGTGAACGAGGCCGGCGCCGAGCCGAGTTCCGGCGGGGATGAATCATCGGGGCACGGAGGACATCTTTGAGGCAGTGGATCGCTGGCATAGATAATCAGATAATCAGTTTATTTTCAGATAATCAGACATCATAATGATTGTTTGGTATAGATAATATCAGATCATGATATTTTCCCAGAACCTGATACTGAGATCAGATTATCCAACCCTGTTGTCCTAAACTTAAAAAAACGGTTAGCCTCTGGCCGAATGTGACATTTGCAACAAGCAGGGCCGAACAAAGGGCCTATAGCTGCAACAATCATCTCTCGGCAGGCAGCCAGTGGCAGTTCTGCGTCTTCTTCTTGGATGGAACCTCCCCTGATCTCATCAGCTACAACGTGGCCCTATCAGCCACGCAGAAGGCACTTCTTGTGTGCCAAACATGTTTTTGGGGATCACCGGGGACTGCAGTGCATGTGGTGAAGGACTAATTATTTAGCCTTTGGACATCATGCGGAGAGGGGAGTTACAGTAGATGATAGATGCTTGTTGATTCCATTGATGCAATTGAAGCATGTTGACACCATCGCGCTTTGAGCAAGAAGGCCAGCTATTGGAAACTGCCCTGCTTTCTACTGGAAGAGATGGGCAGCTTGTCCAACAAGTCCTAGCGACGGGGCGAGTGTGCCATGGTTGTTCAGTCACAAAGAACCGAAGGCTGGGGTTGGACTGGGGGGGATGTGTCCCCAGTCCGTCGCAGTCCATCCCCAGTCCCCCCAAAACAGCGAAAACAGCGGGCAAACCAAGGGCTTGGGCATTTTTTGCAGCAGAAACACGTCACGGAAAGAACAGAACAAACACCTCCAAAGCAGGCTGCGGGTCACTCCGAGTGATTTCTTTTTTGATCTTTTTGGCCATCACATGACTGACAGTCAGACATTCGATGGACCGCACTAAACACTTCAGGGATCGCCACAAGTCATCCTCAGCTAATTAGGTGTCGTCGTCCTCACATGACCAGGAGCAAGAAGCTACTAGTATGTCTTTGAAGCTACTATAGTAACAAGAAGCTAGGAACAAAAGGACTTTGGTCGGACTTGTCGCCATCCGCTTGGACGACTCGGTGACCCCGACCACCCCGACCACGCCCGACCCCCCAGGCGAGGAGACCGACGAGATTTCTCGAGACACCGTGCCGTGGCGGAAGTGAGGACCGTGACGTTCCCTTTCAGAAACAGTAAGAAACGGTATGTAAGGCTGACAAAGGCTGATGGTGATGGTGGTAAGGTGTGAGTTCTCTCCTCTTATTCTTTTGTTTCTATAGTTTCTACTGACGATTGGTTTCATCTTTCATCGAGCACCTCTTTTGCACAGCCGATTCAGAACAATGGACGATTCTACAGCCTATAAGTGCTTGCAAGTGTACATCAAGAACCAATGCAATTCATCCGCAGTTTCTTCCTCACATCCCAGTCTCACTTCCGCATGTGATCACATATGAGCTCATATCCCTAGACGGTGTCCCAGCGCAGGTGATCTTCGCCTGCGCTTTCCAGTGGCGCCACGCGCTGGAGATCTCCGCCGTGTTTAAACGGAAGTTCTTCCTCCCAGAGAGCCCGGTGCTGCTGGGGTCTGGTGCCCTGAGCGGCGCTCAGCTGAACCGGCTGGCGGAGGAGGTTGAAGCAGCTTTGCTGGGTGAGCTGAGGCAGATGAGCCAGTCGCAGTCGCAAAAAGAGAGCGGAAGAAAGGGCAGAAGGTATTTTCCAAGGTGTATGGTGGTGATTGGTGATGTGAGGAACTCCAACCAGCATGTGCGAGATGCAACATGAGCAGCATTGCCGAGAAAGAGAAACTTGGAGGGATATATATATATATACCTCGGATGTTGAATACCAGTCAGACTGAAGGGGAACAACCATGACCAGGAGATGCAAGATTCTTGTGCAAATCTTGATCAATCATTGGATTGACTACCAACCCAGGAGGTTTCCTAAGCCCTTTCAGCATAATATAGAGTAATATTATCTGCGATTTCTTTTGGGTTCTGGCTGGTTCTGGGTTCTGCTCTTCTGAGGTCACTCATCACAGCACAGGTCCATGATGTTTCGTCGATTGGTCGATTGCGAGGAGAATCAGTGGGTGAAAATGGGAGCTCATCACACTTTGGAGATTGAGCTGAATAACAAGCTGACCCTCGGCAAGGTGGGTGCGGATCCGTGCGAAACCACCCAGACGAGAGGGGAGACTTGGAGAATTACGTGATCTGGAGAACATTGGGAGAGTGGCAGAGTGGGGATTGCAGCGAGTATGAATATGTATGAATACTACGAGTCCGCTTCCACCAGCTCTATCATCTTCCATCCCACTCACCAAACTTCTATATACAAGAATGGCTTCATGATGCTTCATGTCTTTCAGGCTGTTCCGAATAAACAAACGAAAAGAAACAAGACCCACTGGACCCTCCTCCGGCCGACAGGATCGATGGGATGCCATGCACCTCCAAGAGCTGGATGAAGCCACAGATGTTCACAAGACCTCTGAGGCATCGGTCGAGGTCGGTCGAACGATCTTCTCGTCCTTTTTGCACCGGGTGCCATGAGCACACTTGTTCCGGCATACTACACCCTTAGCCGAACTACTTGTCTCCAGATGCCTCCTCATGTGATCCGCATCCATGAAAACTTCCGTGCTTTACTAGATACTTGCTTTAAGTGTGAGATGAAATGACAATGGCGACGAGGAAGCACAATGGCCTATGTCAATCTGCGGGGGGGCGGGGTTTGGACCGATCACCTTCACTCGCGTTCATTTCGCTCGACGAACGATCGCCACTCAGGTGGCAGTGTTGTTAATGGAGGCCGGGCAGGGCGTTTTGGAAGCGAATCGATGGGCGTTTTGTGTGTTTTCCTGTGGCGCCTTCTATGGACAAAAGCATGTGCATGGGCAAGATCATACCATGTCAGAAGCCGCAATTGGTTTCCGTGTCCATGCTGAACCAACACCTAATCAAAACCAGCAATAGTATCGCAGTATGTGGGTCACCAGCCTTGTTCCAACAATGCCTCCAACATACGTAGATGAGGTATGTGTCACATACCCAGCTCATAGACACATTGACTAAGCTGTCATACCAATGGTTCCAACAGAAGCACGGACCCAAACGAAGGCTTTTTGCACCGATGACTTAGCTTCAAGGAATTCACTTGCGGTTGATAGACATAAGAGAAAACATGAGACAACACGACGAGAGAAACCATAAACAACCAGAGACCATGTCATCAGGGACATCGAACGAACCATTCCATGATTCCATGATGCTCCACGCATTGCAGCAATGCACCTCTTGCAAGTCACAAATCGCAACCATGCACAACATGAAGACCAGAGGACCTCGGCCCATGGCCCAGCCATGTCCTCCCTTAACACGCAGACGCGGAACCGTCGAGTGGCGTGATAAGCAGCCCAACATGGGTTCAGCATGAAGAGCACAGGTAGGACCAAATGTGATTGTATTTCAATCACTTTTGTTTAAAACATTCGATTTTGTCGAACCATGTCTTCAACAGAGATTAGGGGCCCTTTCACTCTTGCTTAAACAGCAAAACAGCAAGTCCTTCAGCACCACTCAAAACATGCAGCTTCAAACAGGTTCACTCCTTGCCACAGAAGCCGATTGATGTAGGGTGTCGATTCACAGCAGTATTCACAGCATGCGATGCATGTGTCGCTGCGCTTTGCTGGGCCCAGACTGGTGGGGCTGCAGGATGGACATCGATCGGGGTCGTCCAGGGTATTGAAAGTGAAATGAGAACTGAAACTGGGAAAGCTGCAGGGGACGTCTCCACTCGCTTTAAATGGCCTTTACATGTTAGATAAAATGAATGTGAGCTGCCAATCCACGATTCTGGCGGCATCTCCACGCCAGAGTTTGCATCGAGCCACCGCAAGTGGAATCCAACCAACTCTGCAGGAGATCGAGCGTTTGGGTGTTGCCGAGCTGGGCAAGGCCGCCAAGATCTCCCTGGCCGAAGGCGACCTGGACGAGGCGCGGGAGGACGTCATGCCTGTGACACAGTGACCTCATCCCACACCAATATCCAAGTGAGGACTTGTGGAGTTCCATCTTCCATCTCGAACAGAACAGCGAACCCGATCTTTGACACGTCCGGACCGGGTGAAACCACGTGTCGCGTGACGCGTCGCGTGACGCGTCCGTCGCAGGAGCGGTGGAAGCGCTACGGGCTGAGGGCCTCGGAGCTGGTGGGCGAACTGAGCTTTCAGGAGGCGTCCACGCGGACGGTCGGAAGGCGGAGACGGGCTGTCTGAAGAATCTGGAAGGCGGAGATGGGATGTTTCTATTGTATCGAAAGAAAAGAAAGGTATTCCAGGATATTGCAAGGTATTCCAAGGTCATTGACCACAAGAGACTGAACTTGAGAAAGTCTCAAGGTTTTGTTAAGGTCATTGGCTATGAGGGCCCTTGGAGATGCTCACCATTTCAGCCCACGTTTAAAGGTTTCATCAATGATTGCTTGAAGTGTGAGATGGCCCCCCCTTTGATCCTTTCTTGTGTTGTGTGTGTGCGGGTTGGTGTCAGTGTGGTTGGTTTTGATCAGTTGGTAATTATATAGCCTGTGACAAGCTCACCCAACAACATCTCTAACGAGTTCACGTCACCAAGAGGCATAAATCTTCCACTCTCCTGCAGGTGCAGAACTTCGCTACAGGTAGTTGACAGCGAACTTCGAGCTTTAGCCATGCCCACCTCGTAAGATGTTCCTCTCACGCTCATGTTTCTGAAAGCCCTTTCTTCGAGGCTGCGCGATTCGCTTCGGCCTTTTCCACCGCCAGATATGTGCCAAACTCAGCATAAGGTGTTTCGGGCTGCGTGAAACGCATGCCGCCCGTGGGAGGGTCGTCGGAATCACAGGTGCTTACCATCCATCCGAATCCAGCATCTCCAATCATGGAAGTGGAAAAGGGAAGCTGGAAAGAGCATGAGTTGTCCTCTAGAAACAGCATGAGACAGTGAGTTTTCTACTTCCAGCTTCGTGCCGGGAGGGTGTGCCGCCTGAACTTGTTTGGAGTGCACACAACTGCATGTAGGGTTGATAACCTATGAGAAGACAGCACTTCTTCAGTGTGCAGGTGCATACAACCTCGCTTGCGAATGAGACAGGTGGAGTTCCCCTTGTTTGCCAAGCTCTCTGTCATGCACTCAGCCTTTCAAGTCCCTCGTGCACCAGAAGGTCAATGGCCAGCATGTTCACAGCATGTTCATTGCTTAACGCGGATTGCACCTTGAATTCCCATGTTTCTTCATATAGCAGGAGAAATCAGCTTCCTCCAATTGGTTCCTTGTGCCATCAGTTGGAACCGTTTTGAACGAGGCCAGGGCGCTGGACTGCTTGCCAAGAGTGTCGCACGCCAAGAGTGCCTTCGGCTTCGGTCTGTCGAGCAGCACCGTTGACTGTAGGTCAGACCAGACCGGCGAAGACACTCCAAAGGCCGGAGCAGCACGGAGGGACTAAGCAGCACGCGCAAGCGGAAGCGGAGCTGGCTTCATTTTCGGCAATCCAATGAGACGAAATCCACGGAACTCGATGCTTTCAGATATTTTTCAGCTGAAGATGGAGTCCGGACTGCTATGGACTGCTCACGAGCAACTTCGGGATCCTTCCACTGTTTAGCCTACCTTCTACCTCAGTCGACTCCTCAGGCGGTCAACTCGGTGTCTGCCAGTGATTTGCGGCGAATGGCGATGGCTTGTGGGAAGGCACAGTGCTTCGATGGGGAGCTGCTGGAGGCCAGGACCTTGGAGATAGACGATGTGCGGAACACTTTTAAGAAAGCACATGGAATGTAATGAGATGTCCAGCCTTCCAATAGGTGAAGTTAAATCCATTCAAATTCCATAAACCTGTGCATGTTGGTGCGAGGAATCTGTGTAGTGAATTTGTGCGGGGGTAGACATCAGTTCGTCCTCGGTAGACATGCGAACTCATCCCTTGTGTCTGGGCGTCGTGCAGCGCGAGCCGTTGACGCCGTGTGGGTCATGCCACCTGGACCATTGGAGCCCATGGCACCCTGGTAGGTTGACTTCCCTGGCAGTCCATGCTGTGCTTTTTCTGTGGTCAACCATGGTCACCCCCATCTGATCTCGTAGCGGTGCCCTTGATCGAGGCCATGGTGCCCTTGATCGAGGAGCGCTTGCAGGACTTCCGGCCACGCGAACTGGTCCACGTGGCGGACGCTTATGCGTCCTGGGCTGAAGGACAGGGGATGACGTGACTGGAGAGGGTGGAGGAGGGGCCACGAAAGAGACCCAAGTTATATAGGTATGCTGCGGTATGCTGCTATGCATAGGTATGTTTTTAAAGGCTCAACCTTGAGGTGGGTGCACGATGGTACAGGTACATTCTCTATTGACCAAATCCATGCTTTATTTGGAGTGCATGATCCTCCAAATTTGGAGGAGGGTTGCTGGCCCTTGATCGGTATTATGAGGAGAACGGCCTTAGCAGTTAAAGAGGATCAACAAAAATCACTAAGACAACAGGCCTATCTCAGATTTTGTTCTGGCTGTTCTACTTCTTCCCTTTCTTTGATAGCCGGAGAGATAGTTTTGGCAGCATATTTGCTGGCTTCGCTCCAACGGAGCGGATCCCATGCCGAGGCTCGGTTGCCAGTACCGTCCTCAGTCGCGTCTTCCTTGTGGCTTTTCCACCTCACTGATCGTCATCGTCATCTTATATAGTATAAGGTTAGCTGGAGAATAAAGGAACAGTTGCCAGTTGCCAAACCCCTCTACAGTTGTGGTCCGTGTGCCAGTTCTACCAGACATCACAGGCCATTTTGAGCTCGACGGGGTAAACTCGTTGAAGTGGTGAGGTGCAAAGCCCTGAGCTCTTCGCATTGGCCGGGACCTCGACGGGTGCGAAGCGAGTTGGGTTGCTCGTCGCTCGACATGACGCGAGCGATCAGAACTTTCCTGAGGGCCACCAGTGCGAATCCCGACCGAAGGCGACAACGATAAATGTGTTAAGTTTCACTGACTATGTCTCAAGATGTCTTTAATCTGGCTGCAAATGCCTGAGATTGCCTGAGGCTTCCATTAAAAGGAGGATTCATGGGAGAACTGAAAAGAAAAGGAACACCAACGATTCATCCACGATTTTTGGGATCAACATCAAATCCCTGCCTGGACTGCCTTCAGCACTACCCAAAAGTGTTTGTCTCCATCTATCTCCACACGGTCTCTCCACAGGTGGCTGAGGCTTTGCCACGGTACCTCTACGAGCTGCGTCCACCAGAGCTGGCGAGCTTGTGCCGCGCCTTCGCCGAGGCAAGCACGGTTGCGGTGGCCTCCGAGTGCGGGCATGGGGGAGGGGGTTGGATGGCTTTCTGTAAGTTGCATGGAGTGGTTGGCATGTAGTGGCCGGGTTCCTACTCGTAAGAACCAATTCAGATCATGTCGTGTTGTTTTCTTTCTTTGGTCCGTGGTTCCACGTGGTTGTCAATTATGATAATTTTGTGAACAAGGCAAGCGCATCAGCGACCATTCGCGACCTGGATGCTTGCTCCAGGTTGATCCTTGGACGGAGACGCCTTCGTGTGTGTGTGCACGGTGTTCTCGACCCGGGACAACAAGAGACAAGTCCAGTCTCGTGGAACAACACTTCAAACCTCAGGAAGTGGAGCTCACTTGCGGAAGTTTCCCACCCCACACCACTCCCATGTGGTCCAACGAGTGGAGCTCGGGTGCAACGAGTTGGAGCTGAGTGGCGTCGACGTAGATAGAACACGGCGTTTTTCGACCGACGGTGCAGGTAGCGCTCTACAACGAAGAGCTCACCG